TTGCAGCAGAATGCTGCTGCTGCTGCTGCTGCTGCTGCTGCTGCTGTGTTGCTGCTGCTGTTGCTGCAGCACTGGCCCCCGGCCCCACCACCCCCCCAACAACAGCAGCAGCAGCAGCAGCTGCTGCTGCTGCTGCTGCAGGGGAGGGATTGCTGCTGCGCTGCTGCTGCTGGGGTGTATATACAGCCTTTGCGAAGTCAGGAAACTCTACTCCTGCTGCATCTACAGCAGCAAACTTCCGCAATAAAAAGAACGTCGCGCAGCCGTCCATAGTATAGCGAGGAGCGCCGACCCTGCTGCTGCTGCTGCCCCATGCATAAACCCTTTCTTTCTTTTGTTTATAAAACCCTGCATATCCTAATAAACGTAAACGAGGCAAAAAGAAATCCTCGTAATGCTCACGCTCCACCTCCTGCACGCAAACCCTAAACCCTAAACCCTAAACCCTAAACAAACCCTAAACCCTAAACCCTAAACCCTAAACCCTAAACCCTAAAACCTAAACCCTAAACCCTAAACCCTAAACCCTAAACCCTAAACCCTAAACCCTAAACCCTAAACACTAAACCCTAAACCCTAAACCCTAAACCCTGACCTGGAGACAGAGTATATCTGGTTTATATGTGAGTATTTCTTTTAATATTTTTTTTCTTCGGTAGCCCCAGGCCAAGACGAAGCTGCTGCAGTGAGGGAAGGCAGCACTTGTGCAGTACAACTCTGCTAATATGTTCCAGTTCATTACCCTCAACTTGCTGCTGCTGCTGCTGCTGCTGCTGCTGCTGCTGGTGCTCGTGCTGCTGGTGCTGCTGGTGCTGGTGGTGGGTTTGATGCTGCTGCTGCTGCTGTTGTTGTAGATCCCACCGGAAGCACCAGATGCTGCTGCTGCTGCTGCTGCTGCTGCAGTTTGAAGCGGTGATATTTGCTGCTGCAGTTCTCTGCTGCTGCTGGCCCCCCACCCGCCGGTGCCTCCGTCTGCTGCTGCTGCAGCTGTTCCTGCTGCTGTTGCTGCTGCTGCTGCACTCATTCTCTTGTTGTTTGCGTCAAAGACAAATCCTCCGCCTAAACCCTCAACTCCGTCTGCTGTACAGGGGGCCCCCCAACCCCCTCCTACCTGTCCACTGTGCTGTTCAATGGGGGCCCCCAGTGGGGCCCCCTGTGGGGCCCCACTTTGGGGGCCCCCTTGGGGGCCCCCTGTTATATACCCACCTCTTGGGGGGCCCCCCCCAAAGCCCCTCAGACCCAGTAGAGAGGGCCCCTCTACCCCTCCTTCAAACCCTAACGTACCGCCTGAAGCCTGGGGGCCCCCACCCCCATCTAACAATACCCCTTCATAAAACCCCTGAGGGGGGCCCCCATGGGGGGCCCCCAAGGAGGCCCCTAAGGGGGCCCCCAACGGGGCCCCCACAGAGGACCCCACAGAGGCCCCTAAGGGGCCCCCCAATGAGACCCCCAAGGGGTGCCCCTGTGAGGTCCCCAACGGGGCCCCCTGGGGGGCCCCTAAGGGGGCCCCCTGCGAGGCCCCTAAGGGGGCCCCCAGGGGGCCCCCCTGGGGGCCCCCACGAGGGATAAAGGGTAGTAAAGAGTTTTGGGGGGCCCCCTGGGGGGCCCCCAGGGTTGGGTATTGTATTTGAGTTTGTTTGTTAGGGTTTGTTAGTTTGAGGGTTTGAGGGTTTGTGTTAAGTTGCCTCGGGATGACAGGTTTTGTGTTTTGTTGAAACCCTGAAGAGAGGATCCGGCTTAAAGTCTCAGTTAATGAAGGGCAACGCATAGTAGCACCCTGCTGCTGCTGCTGCTGCTGCTGTTGCTGCTGCTGCTGCTGCTGCTGCTGTAGCTGGTGCAGCAGTAGCTGCTGTTGCTGCTGCATGTGCAGCTCCTGTTGCTGCTGGAAGTGCTGTTGTTGCTGCTGTTGTTGCTGTTGGAGCAGCTGCTGCTGTTGCTGCTGTTGCTGCTGCTGCAGGTGCATTGACTGCTGCTGCAGCAGCTGCTGTTGCAGCAACTGTTGCTGCAGCAAGTGGTGCTGCTGCTGTATCTGTTGCTGTGGCAAGTGGAGTTGCTGGAATTGTTGCTGTTGGATGAGTTGCTGCTGCAGTTGCTGCTGCTGTTGCTGCTGCAGCAACAGCAACTGCTGCTGCTGCTGCTGCTGCGGTGCAGCAATAGATAAGAAGCGCCTTGCTGCTGGTGGTTTGACTTCAGGCAAGCAGAAAGATGTCTTAAGCTGCACTAGGGGGGCTGCTTGCTGCTGCTGATCCACCCACTGCCACGCCGCTTGCTGCAGCAGCAGCTGCTGCTGCTGCTGCTGGTCTTGCTGCTGGTCTTGCTGCTGGTCTTGCTGCTGCTGCAGCTGCTGTTGCAGCTGCTGCAGCAGACGGGTAGGCAGCAGAGCAGCTTGAAAGAGAAGCTGACAAGCAACATCATTCTTTGTTGGGGTGTAGCTCTTATTATAACTCACAGCTACAAACTCCTCTGTAGCTGCTGCTGCTGCTGGTGCTGCTGGTGCTGC